TCCCTTTCCCCTGTCCGTAGGCGCATGTTCCCTTTCCTAAGTTTCAACATCTCCGGCCTGGATCCCACGGCTCACTACAACATTTTCGTGGATGTCATTCTGGCCGATCCCAACCACTGGAGATTTCAAGGAGGCAAATGGGTTCCTTGCGGCAAGGCGGACACCAATGTGCAAGGCAAGTGCTTCCAATTAACACGTTTCCCGACACATGCGGAGGTGAGAAGGATTAATTAAAGCCTTTGTGGACTGGCTCTGGCGACTTCCTAGCCGGGAGCGGGCCAAGGCTGGCGTGGGGGGAAGGAGGGCAAAGAAAAGGAGAAGGGAGAAAAAGGACCCGCGGGGAAGGAGATGGGGGACGCGGCTGATCCGGCCCGGGGAAGCCGGGGTTCGCGGCCCTCCGGGCGGGAGGCGGGGAGGGCCGAGCCGGGCCGGGCCGGGCCGGGCCGGGTAAGCAGCGCGGGTGTCTTTGTGTCCGTGCAGGAAACCGGGTGTACATGCACCCCGACTCCCCCAACACCGGGGCCCACTGGATGCGCCAGGAGATCTCCTTCGGGAAGCTGAAACTTACAAACAATAAAGGAGCCTCCAACAACAACGGGCAGGTCAGTGGGGCCCGGCGCTGCCTGAGGATCGAGCTCGGCCCCAGCTTTCTCCTTAGCCACATCGCAGGCTCGGGCGGGGAAGCGCAGCCCCGGGGGCTCCCCCCTGCCCGCGGGCTTGCGGCTTTGCCTCTGACCGCACCGCCGAGCAGGGGAAAATCCCGCCCGGGAGCGGGCTGCGCTTCGCCCGGCTTGTCGGGGAGGGATCGGCGGCGGTGGCTCTTCCTCCCGGCGCTTCAGTCGCTCTCAGTATGTTCCCCCTGCCCTGGCTCTGATGCGGCTCTCTCCCCGGCTCCCCTCCCCTCTCTCTGCCTGACAGATGGTGGTCTTGCAGTCCTTGCACAAGTACCAGCCCCGCTTGCACGTGGTGGAGGTGAATGAAGACGGGACGGAGGACACCAACCAGCCGGGCAGAGTACAGACGTTCACCTTCCCCGAGACCCAGTTCATAGCGGTCACCGCCTACCAGAACACCGATGTAAAGAGCTAGGCGGTCTCCTTCACCCGCACCGGAGCCTCCCCCGGGCCGCAGCAGCGCTCCGTGCAGGGCAGGCCACCGCCCGCCCTGACGGGGGACGCTGTCCCCTGTCCCAAACCTACAGGAGTCGGGATATCTATTTGTAAAAGTTGCAATGCTGTGCCCTTTGCTGCGACCAGCAAGAGCCGCGAGCCCCAAACCCTCAACACTAGCAGGGGTGTGGTTCATATCTCGGAGCCTTCCCCTTGCCCCGGTTGTCCCAGACGCTGTTTAGTCTGGTGCAGGGTCCGGAGACTAAATATTCCCTTAGGTCGAAACAAGCATCAGTGTCCGTAATGAATCTTTCCCAGGGTGACCGAGAGGAACCCTATTGGCACTTCCAGGACATGATAATTGTCAATAGCTATTGCCTCCTTTCCAAAAGAACGTGTTCGGTTCTCTTGGGCGGATTTTAAGCAAGTCTGAAAAGAGCCACTGCTCGGTGCTGCTGCCTGAGCTCGGGGTGCTGGTTCATTTCAACCCGACTGCGATCTCGTCAGTGCCTGGGGAAGGGTTTAGTTTGGGTGTTACTGCTGGGGGTTTGGGTTTTCTTCCTCTCTCTCTCTTTTTTTTTTTTTTTTTTCTTAATTTAATTTTTTATATTTTGCCCTCTCTCTGGACGGTAGATATTAAACCTGTCTGCTTTGTTTTTAATTGTTGTGTTCGGTGCTTAGATCATCTCTTCCAAATACTAGGTAAAACAACTCGAAGTAGTAATTATTTCTGATCTGGCATCTTAATTTTTTTTTTTTTTTAACATTTTATAAATAGGAATCTAAAAACAATGTCGAATCAAAATATTTCTCCTTGGTATCAGTAATTGATGAGAACGAATGGAAGAGGAGCTTAAACAATTTCCTCGCATTAAGTCTTCGTAAACGATATGGTTGTTGTTGTTGTTATTATTTTTAATTTTGAAGAGGGGCAATTTGAGCGACTGGAAACCCTGCGTTAAAAATGTGCTTATTGTAGTATAATAGAAATGCTCCTGCTTTTTCACCGTGCCTGCCTGTGAGGAGTACTCACTGAGCCTCTCCTCTCCCTAGATCACACAGCTGAAGATAGATCACAACCCTTTCGCAAAAGGCTTCCGAGACAATTACGACACGTAAGTAAACTCGCGTTGTCGCTTTTGCGTTCAGGGAGCGGGGCGCACGTGCGGGCAGAGCTGGGTTTCGCGGCGCAGTTGCGGTCTCTTGAATCCTGACCCGTCCAGTGTTACGGTGCAGAGCTCGGAGAGAAGAGAGAACCGGGTTGCTTACGATCGGGGCTGAATTTTGTGGGTGGCTGAAAATCAGCTCCGCTCTCCCCGAATTTTTGGTGATGAAACTCTTGGCTTGCGAGTGAATTTGAACGCCGGGACTGGGAGCAGGCAAATCTCCTGCGCCCGGGTGGTCGCTAGGTGCTGGCTGACACCTTCCCGCCGGCCCGGTGCAGGCGGAGGGAGGATGCTCCTCTCACCCTGCGCTTCCACGAGGTTGCACGTTGCTTTGGCAGTTGTGCTGTGGGGGTTTTGTTTCGTTTTGTTTTTCTTTTCTTTTGGGTGTTTTTGTTTGTTTGTTTTACGGGTTTATATCTTTGCACTCATTTTGAAGCTCTCCAGTTTTATTCAGTGTGTGTATTTTGGGCTACAAAATAAGGCCTCCTCCTAATGGGGATTAGCTTGCTGAGCAGAAATGCCGCTGCGTGTGCTGCTGGGCGCTGTACCTCGAGTTTGGAAGCACATCTCTTCTCTCTGGGTGGAGCTAAAGCCTGCAGGGCTTTTGTTTTGGCTTGCCTTCCAGAAAGGCATTTCCCCTGGCTGCTCCCGCGCGCACTCACGCTGTTGTCACTCAAGTCGGTGCCCAGACCCGCGCGTCTGGCCAGGTGTGAAGCTCTGGCTACTCCTTATGTAGCGGATCCGGGCTTCGCGCTTGGCTGGGGGGCTCCCCTGCGGCCCCGCACCCAGTCCCGCTGCCACCACGTGCGCCCCGAGGGGACTCCGCTGCGCTCAGGTCTGCCGCTTGCCCTGGCGAGGAAGACGCTGGTTCTCTGCCCCCTGCCCACTGGAGCTGGGGGGCAAAAAGACACCCCTCCCGCCGCGGGCCTTTGGCTCGAGAGCAGCAAAGCCCACAGCAGGGCGATCAGCTCAGTGACAGTCGGGGAGGAGGTCACCCCCCCTTCCCGGAGCAACCGGGTAGCTCCGCCGTCCTGGGGAAGGGCTCGGCTCTCGGGCAGGGGCAGGACGGCGCTTTGCGGGAGCCCCTGCTTGTGGCTTGTTCCCAAGGGGCCTCAGTCCTGTTTCTCGGGGCTGGGAACGGCTCGCCTCGAGGACAGGAGGTTTGCCTCATTCTATCAAGCACTTAAGCACGTGCTTAACTTAAGGCGTCTGCGGAAACCGCTCTCTGTGTAGCAAAGTTAATACCTCGGCAGGAGTAAACGCAACGTTTCGGAGCGAGGAGTTGAGCCGGGGTTTGTGCTGTGCGAAATCCAGGCCTAAAACGAGGGTGGGATGAAGGTGTTGGCTCTGCCGGCCGCTGACTTGCACGGGGCACCTGCCTGCACCTCTCGTCACGCGGTGTTTGCGTCTTCCCCGAGGCGCGGGGGGAGCCCGGGGCACGGCCGCACGTGTCGCCCCAGCCGGAGCCCTCTCCCGGGTGACGGGCCGAGGGCCTCCCGCGTCTGCCTTCCCGCCGCAGAGCCTCTGCCTGCCTTCCCGCAAATGCACCCACTTAAAAGGCGCCTCTTAAACAAGCCGGAAAGAAAAGCAACACCCTGAATGTTGTCTAGCACGTTGAATTTGCTCAAGGGCCAAGTGTTTTCTGGAGAAGTCAATTTAGGAGGAGGGGAGGGTTAATGAAAGTCAAAATGTAGCCTAAATGAAAAGCACGGGCTGGCGTAAAGGTTCGATGGGCACGAGCTGCAGGCCAAGGAGGATTGGGGAGGCGGAAATGTATAGCTTCTTCAGCAGGTGTTTCAGGGTTAGCTTCACTTCAGTTCAGTTCAGTAAACTCTGCTGGCTCGTCTCTGGCTTTGAACAGTAAGTGTTCAAGAGCCGGGGTCACCTGTTGCCCCTGGGCGCGGGAGAGGGGCGCTGGGGGTCGCACAGACGGGGCGGCCAGAGACTGGAGCTGGTCCCCCACCCCGCAGGCACGGGCCGGCCTCTGGCTTGCTGGGCCTCTTCAAAACTCTGCACTGCGAGCTCAGGCTTGGCGGGGGGGGAGCGGGGAGGTGTGGGACAGCCAGGGCTCTGCAGCCGAGCGCTGCCCCGGCGGCCGGCCGGGCTCCCCGCTCTGGGGCCCGGGGGCAGGCGGCGTGGTCCGCGGCCG